ATTTATATATGTCTCTCTCTGTGTTATTTCTGTTGGATTTAGAAATCATGAAAGTGGGAAATGGATTTATTGTGGCCCAATAAATGACCACAGGATGGAATGGAAGTAGAAGAGGAGTAGAATTCTGCTCAGGAGTCCAGGGGTGGCACTGAGAATGAAGAAACCAAGGCAACAGAGAGAAAAGAGAGAGGGTGGCACAAGGAAGCAGGACTTGAGATGGAAAAGAACTTCTTCCGTAAACTTCCAGACAACCAACAGTAGGATCAGAATGCTATGTCAGATGTCAGATGTCTTCTTAAGTTCACAAAAGACTGATGTAGAATATCTTTTCAACTCTTATGAAAGGGCTTGTAAAGACTTCAGAATAGCTAAAGAAGAACAGGAAAATATATTTACTCTGGTGGATATATTGCCAGTTGGACCTGAAGAAGTCTACCAGATCTTGTGTTTCATTTAGCGGAGAAGCCTTCTTAGAAGATGGGATTATCAGTGAGGTTTCAAATTAGCATCTCTGCCAGAATGTAAGACAAAGCTACTCTAAGCAGAAGCCTTAAACAGTCTTCCCTATTTGGGGTCCTCTAGATGGAAAGTCCAGTATTTGCAGTATTTGGAAAAACTGGCTGAGAATTCTGAGTTATAGTCCTAAAATGTAAATCTATCCTGACCCATTTCAGGCTTCAGAGTGTACTACAAGCTTTGGTTAGCCTTGTAGATGATTCATGGAGGGTCACTATTCTAAGGTGATACATTTCCTGAATGGAAGATACAGGTATCTTGGTGGTTCTTGATCTCTATGTTTCCTAGACTGAGACAACTATCAGAAGCACTTTTTAATCAGTTTGTGTGCTATATTAAATACATCCTTAAAATAGTATTCCACAGGCTTGGCTGGATGGTTTTGTGTCTGATCCAGGAGCTAAGTACAGCACTAACTAGATTGGTTTCTGAAGAATTCATACTGCTTCTGTGTTGATAGCACAGTAGTGGTGGTAAATCTGTGTCTAGAGCAGTGTTTCTCAACCTCAGCAGCTATAAGATGCGTGGACTTCATGCTGGCTGGTCATGCTGGCTGCAGAATTCTGGGAGTTGAAGTCCATGCATCTTAAAGCTGCCAAGGTTGAGAAACACTGCTTTAGAGGAGATTCATAGTGTTTTTATTATCGTAAAGCCATGGATGGCTTGGACTGAGATCTGTATAATTCCATTTCACCCTTCATCTCACTGAGGTCATCTGAGGTTTGCATACAACCTGCCAACATGCGGAAAACCTTTTGTGCAGCCATCACTGGTCTTTGGATTGCATTGTTTGATCTCGTCATCATTTTTAAATGGGCCTAGACAAACTCTAAAAACAAAATTTTAACTATGTATTAATATCAAGACTTCGGTAATCAGTGGTCTAATGTTTAATAGATGGATAATAAACAGTTGACAGAGGCAACATTGGGGGAGTCTCGTCCAAATGTATTCCTAAAACTTTCTTTTAAAAAAGGGAGGGGGGACCATCCTAATGTTTGAATGATGGGAGTGTGTTTTTTGTTCTACTTCCACCGATTGTAAAATCTTTTATCTTAAAATTAAAATAAATGATGGATATTGCTGTTCCTGGTCATCTTCCTATTTAGCCAGTATAACAGAAAGAAATTCATTTCTCCTTTTAAAAATGCCACGGTCTCATAAACAGTCAGGCTTATCTTGGGGTGTTCACATTCCTCCCAAGAAACAAAATCAACAGGCACAAAGAACTCACTGTCCCTTGTCTGTGGCTGGCCTTTTATTAATTATGTTCAATGGACTAAGTGTTTCAACATGCATTTTAATTAAAAGGGGCAGTTGCCGGCAGTTCTTTCTCTTCAGCAACTTTTGCCATTCATCGAACTCTTGGCTTATTTTATCAGACTGAAGGGTATGGGATGTGGCTGTTTTCAAAGGGCAGGACGAGAAGAATGTGCTCTTTCTGTTTCTGAAAAGCCAAGTTGGCAGTGGCTGGAGGAGGAAGCTGGCTGATGAAACTGTCTTGTCCTTCGTGGATTCCCAAGTCCCAGATGGGAGTGTATATTAAAGGCACTGTGTATTTGTTTTGTGCTAAGAGGCTGCCTTTGGGGGCTGGTTCACAATAAAGGCAGAGGCAGAAATGGTTATTGGCAAGGCTCAAGAATTAGCGCGTCGTAATTTGAGGAAACATCCCATCCAAAGATAGTTACATTTTGTGCAGTTAATGTCCCACTTTCTTCGCCTTGCCGTTGCTGCTGCTGCTGCTACAATTCAATATACCATCCATCCATTATAAAGACCAACCAATTCAGCCAAAGAAAAGCATTTTGAAATGGGCATTTTGACACACTCTAACTTGGATAGTAATTCCCACTGAATTACTCCCAAGTCAGGAATTAGTTCTGAAAGGGCACGTTTCATACATTTCAATGGAAGAGTTAAACATGCGTTCAGAGATTCTGCCTTGTGAATGGAAAGTAAGGATTCTCAAGGAGTCTGTTCTCACCATCCCAGAGTTCTGGGAACGTATAAAAGTTGGTTTGGGGAGATCAAGGGGTTCTCCAGTATGTCATCTATGGCAGCAGAGACAATTGAGCTGAAATTTATGCCAATAGTAAACCAATACCAAATGACTTGTGTGTAACATTGTGACGTGTTGTATTATTCCCCTGTTCCTTGACCCAGCATTGAAAGAGTTAACGTTTTCTATAGCTTTGCATTTTCCAAAACTGTCCTGTTTTCTTTGATACTAGTCTAGAGATGATGCAATAAGCTTTAAACATGTCAGGGAAAGCATGCAAATGTGGCTTCAGGCATTTTTTTCCAGACGCTCAACAGAAGTGTCGCTCTGGGTCATGCAGACAGGAGAGAGGCTTGAAAATGGAGCCACTGGCAGTGTTTGGAGCCCCCAGCTGATTCCTTTTCCCTAAGGAATGCGTTGGGGAATTTTTCTTGGCCACATCTAGGCCATTTTTTAACTCACACTGCCTTCTGTTGTCTTTTCCTATTATATCAAAGTTGGTTCCATCCTGTTTTCAGAGAGTTATCCTCCTGCCATTAAGATAGAGTCCCAAGCCCCTTTATATAATTTCTTACATTTTAGGGGGTTGAAAGAATAAAAATGAGCTGGAGTACGGCAGCTGTATCGGAAGACTCTCATACTTTTCCACCTTCTGCGTTTCCTCAGTTATTTATTGGATCTGTTGAGGCTGCCCAATTCCATAAAGACTCTCTTAGAGTCTTCTAATACTATTAGAAGGTACTGCCTGGTTCCTGCACTGCACTTAGCTATGGTTTAATTATGACTTGAATCAGGCACAACGGTCTAGGGCACTCATTGCATTAATCCAATAAACCTTAGCCGTCAACCACCTTCTAACCATAATGCAGTTAAATTTTGGATTACTGTATTGACTGCACCCAAGTGCTGAGAAGGTATGCACCTTGGCTGTTCTATACTTGAATGCAGTTGAATCAGCATCAAAGAGTGATCCAGGACTGCAGTCATTTGCATTTTTGACATGTATACCTTTGTCTAAAAGCATTTATTTGCGTGTTTTTATTTTGTTTTGTTTGTTTTATGCTGTTGACAGTGGAGATGCAATGGAGGTACACACTCCGAAAATGTTAAGAACTGCTTTGCCCCTTGCAAATGCAGTCCATCTCTGCTCTCTATTAAAGCAGGCACCTCCTTTGGTGCTGCCTTAAGAGCCACCTTAATGAGGTGGCTCATTAAAGCAGCTGCTACTTTTCAGGTTGTAGGGAAAGCTGAAAAAAAGAGAAGCTGCTTTAATGAAGCAGAGAGGTGTTGTGTTCAGGTGAGGTCTGAAGCCATTCTTCTAATTATTTTAAAAGCACACAAAGCATCTATCTATCTATCTATCTATCTCACATATAGCCCCTCATTAACTATTGATGTATTGAACAGGAGTGCCATCTAGTGGGGATCACTGTTAAGGCGACTGCCATATAGAATATGGATAGTAAGCATTGTATCAGGTTGCTTCATGGATGCATGCAAAGTACAGGCATGCCTCGTTTTATCGTGCTTTGCAGATACTGTATTGTGTTTTTTTTAATATATATATATATATATAAATTGTTTGTGGCAACCCTGCATCAAGCAAGTCTATCAGAGGAAGGTTAGCATTTTTTAGCAATAAAGAATTTTTTAATTCAGGCATGTACATCGTTTTTTTCAGACATAATGCTATTGCACACTTAATAGACTACAGTATAGTGTTAACATAACTTTTATATGCACTGGGAAACCAAAAAATTTGTGTGACTTGCATTATTGTGATATTCACTTTATCGCAGTGGTCTGGAACCGAACCCACCATATCTCTGAGGTATGTCTGCATTTCAGGCACAAACCGACTGCAAAAAGTACAGCTGCATCCATGGGAAGAAATGAAACTAGGACTCAAAAGAGGATTGACAGAAAAAACAATAATCTCGTTCTTGTTCTGGCCATTGAACTCACACCAAAATGGCTTGTTTTAACTTGCCAAGATCTTCATTAAATGATGTAACAAAAAGCCAGTCAGCTATCAGAACACTTTAGGAATGTGGAATGAGTCTTTTTTCCCCTCCTCCCCCTTTGATCTTCAGGGGAGTGCAAAGTTGCACCTGGAAGAACAATGGAAAATCGCTGTCCGTCCCTGTTCTCTCCAAGACCCAAGTTGGAGAGTTCAGTATCACAGCCAAAACCCACTCCTCTTAACCAACCTGGACTGGGACAGAATATATGATTCTATTTCTTATTTGCATAAACCACCCATTAATATAATCTGGCTAGAACAGCCTAATGTCTATGCATACTGGCCTCTGGGGTGGGATCAAAGAAGGCAAGATGTTGGTCATGGCAAGTGACTGAAGCTCTGCCCCTTCACTCACACTGCTATGACCACATCTTGCCTTTTTTTCACCCCTCTGCAGACACTGGTGTCATTTTTGTGTTACAATAAAATGCAATAATGTATTTTTGGGATTACAAGCATGTCCATATATCCATAATCTTATTTAATAGTGTCCCACAGGCTAACCAGAAATATTTCTCATTGCGTTTTTTGGTTATGGAACAATATTCAGGACTTTTATGTACTATATTTTATGAAACATATTGCAAGCAAATGACATTAACACTTGGTTCAAATAGCGTGTGATAACATATTTTCAAATAAGCGGTTGGATTTCAGTATTCCTTAAGGAGTAATAGATTTTTAAAAAACACATACAAATAAAACAACTACTTCCAACAGCAATCCAGAATAATATATTTTTAAAGAATTGGTGGATTAAGATAAATGAGTTTCTGATTACATGTTTACAGCAATACAATTCTTTTTAAAAAAATGTAAAATGTGGCCAATATATGTTGATGTGGTGGAATGCCCAATTTTTGGGAGGAAACTTCCATAACAAGATACATTATTTACAGCTTTTGATTCCTCACAAAGGTCCATTTCAATCATTACTGCAATTATTTCTCTTTTACTGGATGTCATGGTAAGATTACTGCCATTAACCCTTCCAAGTGGAAGGCTACCCTTTGAGGTAGGCCAGTCTGAGAACTGGAGAGCTCCCCCAATTATTTTCATAGCTAAGAAAAGATTAAACCTCAGGTCTGCCCACCCCAAATATCATAGCTTCTTTAAGTTTCAGGTTTAAAAAGGAGAAAAAAATACAAGTATGATCTCTAGAATGCTATTTGATAGCTTCACTTCCTTGAATGTGTAAAAGACTTCCCATTGGATCTGAAACTATGTCAACATCATATTTTTCTACCGTGGCTTTGCCCCATGTTGCTTTCAAAACAGCAGAATAAGGCACAGTGAAGAATGGGAGTGCTAAATTCTTCTCGTTGCCTGTTCTTTGCTCCCCCAAACTACTCACACCACTGAAAAGTACTGTCTGACGTCTGCGAAAGCAAAATGGTTGAGATACTTTTATGGGGGCTACAAAGAGACGACTTCAGCAAAGACATTGCTAGTGTCTGCTAAGGGACTCATCACCTCTAGATACGTCGGGAGGCTAATGGAAGAGAGTCAAGCTGGCAAAATTCATTCTACTCTTTGGCCACCAGTAGCTTTCAAAGATTAGATGGTGCTGCTGTGGGTGAGCCTCAAGCAAAAAGAAAAGAGAAACTTACTTCAGGAGAGATGAGAAGTTGTTGCAGATACATATACAAACACATTGTCAGGTTCGAAAGTGCTGGTGTGCAGGAATGGTTTACCTCTTTGATATAGCTTTTCATATCACACACACACACCCAACACACAAAATCAGAAGTATAAATGAGGGGTCGGTGTAGATCACTTGCTTTGTGAACAGCATCAGTCTGCTTCGAATGTGGTCTAGTATATCAGCATTATCACTCTGATTGTAAATAACACTGTATAAGAAAATCATTTAAACACTTCCTACTCTATTGGCTGCTCAGAACAACTAATTCAGTAAATATGTTGCATTTGGACCAGATACACGGCCTTAGGAGCTACCTGCTTAGAATATTCTAATCGCCTGGGCTGAGTAGGTTGGGTGCATGTGGCCTTGATCTACGTTAGCCCTTGGAACATAGATAAGGATCACAAGACACAGCGGCCAAGTTCAGATGATATGGAGTCTGTTTACTGTTAGGTGAATAGGTCATAGCAAGCTGCCCCTTCCTCTTTTAGGAGCCTCAGGAAGAGTCTAAAAGATTTCCCTTCCAGTGTAAAAAAGCCTTCATTCCCCACAACAACCCAACTTAGAAGCCACTGATTGTTTAAACCTCTGTTTCTCAACCTTGGCAGCTTGTTGATGTGTGGACTTCAACTCCTAGAATTTCCCAGCCAGCATGGCTGGGTGGGGAATTCTGGGAATTGAAGTTCACACATCTTAAAAGTTGCTAAGGCTGAGAAACCGTGGCCTTGATCATTCAGGTTTTGGCAGTTCAGATATGCTCTATTGCTTGTTTGTTTTTAAGGTTAAAGTCTTAATGAAGAACGTGTTATAAGCATATTGTTTCTAAAAATGTAATACACGCCCTATAAATCAATTATCTTTGGTGTGAAGCAACAGTGATAAAAAAAGCAACCTAATTAGTTATCCAGCAGCATGCACACACAATCCCAAAATGTAAAAAAACCCAAAACATTAAAACATTAGGAGTAACAATGTTTGGCTACCACTGCTTTAGCTAAAATATGTTTGCTTGATTAAGCTCACTGCACTGTATTTGTTAACCAGCAATTCAGGGCAAACTCCTATCTGTCACATTTTGCTTATGTCTGCTATTTAAGATAATTTTGTTTCTCATCATTCCTTTTACCATTCTCCCCAGCCTTTCCCTTCTTCCTTCTTTCTAGTAGCTCTCATCTGGCTGCAGCAGAGAGGCAATCACACAGCTGCCATCTAGTGATCACTCAAGATTATTTGCAGACTTGCTAGCCTTATTCTAATAATCACTCTCTCTCTTTCTGTTGGGAGGGGGGGTAGATGTTTGGTGTAGTGATTAAAGGCATCAGGCTAGAAATCAGGAGACCCCAAGTCCTAGTCCTGCCTTAGGCACCAAGCCAGCTGGGTGACTTTGGGCCAGCCATTGTCTCTCAGACCTAGGAAGAAGATGACCATGGCCAACTACTTCCAGAAATATTGCCAAGAAAACTGCAGGAACTTATCCAGGCAAGTCAACGCTCACTTGAAGGCACACACATACACATGTATATATAGTAGTTCACTATCTGTGTATGGCATGTATTTGATGAAGGGGACTGTAAAATGCCAAGCGTATTCATGAATAAATTTGTTAGGTTGTAAGGTGCTGCAGGGATCTTTGTTTTTGTACAAAAAATAAAACAAATCTGAAAACACTTGGGTTTCTTCTTGTTATATGGATTTAAGGGCACATTAATTCTGGCATTAAATAAAGCCAGAGAGTCAATTCCTTATAGAAAACAAAATGAAATGTTCTGGTAGGCTACCATATGAAACATCCTCTTAATGAAAGCTGTGTTTCAAAAGTCTCAGAGTTTTCACAGGTTTAAAGATGAAGATGACTTTTTACTTACATTGTCATAAACAATGGACAATATTTCGCACTGTTACTGTGAAGTCCAGTGCGTATGTACTGCTGAAGTAAAAGTTCTAATTCTTACATCAATGGTTATATGATTATGTAAAAACCACACCATTATAATCATATTTCAATGAAAACATAGCTAAACACTTTTACTGGGCTTGATCTTAACAACATTATGCATCTTTCATCCCATTTATTGCAGCTGGACTTCAAAGCCCTAAATAAGCACCATCATGTGATTATTATATTTCAGAAGACAGCCACACCATGCAATCTTACGCACATCTACTCTGTATTAAGTCCCACAGAGTGTGGTCAAACTGAGTTCCAAACAAATATGTGTATGAATGTGGCTTCAATATATTGTCGTCCTCAAGATAAAGCCCAATGGTATGGTCATAATATACTGAATATTGGCACCCTATCCCATTTCTCCATACTAATTTCCCAAAGGAAGTGATGTCATAAATTATGTAAACCAACTTTAAAAATCAAGGGACTATAACCTTAAAATCTATATGCAATTTTAAAATAATTGTTGCATTCATTTTGTTAAAAAATGCAAAGTTATAAAAACATACTAAGCTTTGTCAGAGGCGTTCACATTATTTTAAGTGTAGTTTGAGGTATTCTTGGAACAGGAGGAGGCACCATAGAAGCAGATTGATCGAGATGTACAGAATCAAAAAAATCATATCCAGTTAATTTAATTTCCTATTGGAGAAAAAAATATAGATATAGCATTATGCATAAGTGTTTTCCCCAAATAACTTTGTAGCAAATTATTTCAAACAGAAGCTACTGTATATTTACTTGTTTTTCCTTGTGTATTGATTGTTCAATTGCAGTCCTATACTTAATTACCTAGGAGTAAGCTCACTTGGTATCAGAAAGTGAGTACTTACTTACTTTTGAGTAAGAAAGATGGATTGTACTATTAATTAGACAAGGATTAAGTACCTAGAATTGGCTTTTTCCAGCAGGTTAAGGTAATTTACAGTATAGTGAATGGCTCTATTCAGCATAGAATTCTGTGCATTTACACGTAATTTTTCTTAGTTCTGGATAGATCCCTCATTTGCTGCTTATCTCCCTAAAGATAGCTCTAAAAGAAAGTACTGATGAATTTCTCATTGCGATGAATGCTAAAACCTGCAACGAAGATTAAGAGAACATCACAATATGGGAATGCTTGGATAAAATGACTCAAGGAATTCTAAACACCACTATTAGAAGCTTTAACATCATTAAGGAAAACCATTTATATTAAAATGGTGCAATTGAAGAGCACCAGTTTTAAAGAAAAAGAACAGCCTGAAAAATTATATATGGTCTGTTTACTTGATTATCCAAGCATTTCAAAGCCATGCTGCCTACATTCTGAATAGGCCCACTTACTTGGGCTTCCGTTCCTTAGTGGGGAAGGGCTCCGGCTTCGAGTTGGCTAAAAGACAAAGAAAGATGAAGATGTTTTGATTCATCCCTGTTCCTTTTATTCTAGAAAAACAAATCTGAATTGAACACATGCCATCAGACTAGACGGGAAAACCTAGATCAGCTTGCCCCAATCCTACAATCATCATGGCAGCTGAGAATTCTGGCTGGGAAGGTCAATTCTCTCTGGGCTCCCGAAGGCTGGAGGCAGAAAACAGACATAGCAAACTCTGCCTCATCTGGATGTGGAGCCCAGTTATTGAATGCCTAGGCATTGGAGGCCCCATCACATATGGTATATGCAGGGATGTGCAAAGGGTGTGGTACAAAAAGTCAAGATGGTGATCACGATGGTGCAATCGAAGCTCTGTCCCACATGCAACGCGCACGAAAAACAGGCAGAACTTCAATTTTACCATTGTGGCCGCCATATTGCATCATTTTTCCCAGTTATGGTACTGTCCACACACCCGTTGCTACACAACAGCGCCTTCCGTTGCTACCTGAATAACATGAGAAGCTCCAAACTATCTGGGAATAAGAGAATGCCTTATTGTAGCTTCTTCCTCCATGACCTAGTTTCTTGGCAGTGTGACATGGACACAGGAGGAGGCAAAGTATCTCTTTCCACTCAACTTGGACTATCTCTTCTCAGCTCCCGGATGCAGCAGCTAATGTTGTACTAGGAAGGGGATCTTTGCTGGAAGGGTTCTTGCTCAGACCATTCTGTAATTTTAATTCATTTCCCAAGAATGGATGGTTTATGAAAAGCCATTTTATTCCTTTTCTATGATCCAACCTTTCTCTAAAGCACACAGCTCAAAAACTGGGATGTTCCTGCAAGAGAAACAGATATCTGAGATGAAAATGATGCGTCCACAGGGGAGGGGGAATGTAAAAAAAAAGTCAAAATGGCAGCTTCAGTTGCATGGTCACAGCAACCATCTTGACTTTTTTTATCCACCTCCCCCCAGTATACACCCCTGGAACTATGAGTGCAAAATCAACAAGCTATATGATGGAGCTACTTCTCCTCTTCTCTTCACCCTCTCCCACCACCACCACTACCACCAATAAGTAGAAAGGAATGGGGCCAAAGCTGAAGCATTGTAAGAAAGCTTAGCAGGACTCCTTTTCATGTCTTCCACCACCATAAAGTAAGAAAGGAAACCAAGAATTCAATAATGGGAAACAAATGCAAGCATATACACATTTTATGCATTAATGCATACGTGCAAGAACAGGGTCAATTTATCACTGCTTAAAATGACAGGCAGCCCAATTCACAAGACAAATAAAGCAGAATCATGAATTAGAATAGAAATCAGATCACCTGCTTTATATTGGTTTGCTTCACGCTGTCTCTGTTTTATTTTGGAGATTAATGATAAATACGCTTCTAAGAAATCAATTCCAGGATAATGGAGAATTAACAGAGCTACAAGATCCGGCATCTAACCTCCAGCTGACCACTAGAGGGCTATAAAGAATTATTCTTCTGTATTTTTTGTGGCCCTCTAGTGGTTGTTCATATTTCTACAGCCCAGATCTGGCAGTGCTAGATTTTATTAATAAAGTGTTTAGTTAATCATAATCATAGTTAAACATAATTTAGTTCAGTTAAACACCAATTAGTTAGATTAACTGGCATGAAAAATATTCACTCTCCAAAGCAAACTAGGTCAGTTAGAATTCCGTGTATTGCTCTACTGCCATCTAGCAATCATATAGATCAGTGTTTCTCAACCTTGGCAACTTTAAGATGTTTGAAGGCTACACATGGTCTGCTTAGAGTTACAGGTTGACAAAACCTGTGAGAGTTGAGCTATAGATGAGTACTGGAGATTAGTGGGCTAATAAATTGTCTTCTACAAGCTCCTAAGGACTCATCCTCATGTTCTCCCGAGGTAGTAGAATCAGAAAAACATCATGGTTTCAAGAATCTCTCCTTGCCTTAAGAGTGATCCAAGGAAGAAAGTTGGGAAAAACGGCCTATTACCGCATATGCTCAAAAGTGGTTTTTAGCTGCTCCCTTCCCTCCCTTATTTTATTTTCCTACCACTGAATTGTGTTGGCAGCACAGTCTCAGGATTTCACGATTAGGGTTAGGGGCCATAAATGGGGACTGGGTTTCTCAAACAGAATTCCACACACGCAGACAACCCATGAGGTTGAGGAAGCACAGTAGGTCTCCACACATAACCAGAGTGTTTTTAACCGCACAGCCTCCTTACCCCTCATCCCCATATTTTGAGTAGTCTGTTCTTTAAAAAACATGTTTTAATATTGTCTTCAGTGCAAACTCCTGGGTGTGCATTTTGAACTATTATGTTAATCAGTTCATTTTACTTTACCAAATGCCGGGAGTAGCCTGTACTACGAGCCAGAGGGCTAACGCTACGGCTGCGACTGTGGCTGCAGCTCCTGTTCCTGCTCCTGGAAGACCACTGAAATAAAATGCAAACTATGAAATAGATCTGGGTTAAGCAGGCATCCTTTAGTGAGTAGACTTTGCAGAAGGCCAGGGTAGTATTGTGCAAGAAAAAACTTGTTCAGCATTACTCCACTGTAGGGTTCACAAATCTTGTCCATTTTCAGAAACGGGGACTTCAGTTCCCAGCAAGGTGTCCACAGGTGTGGTCAAAACAGTCAAGATGGAAGCTTTGACTGTGCAGTCAAAGTTCCACCTGTTTTTTATGCGCCATCTTGAGGTTTTTTTTTAACCCCACTCTCTCAACCCCCAAACTCCCAGAAGTCCCCAACCAAGTCGGCCATTGCTAACAACTCTGGGAATTGAAGCTGTGAAGGTTGGGAAATACTGCCCTACCACATTCCAGACTCCAGTCCCAATCATAGCATGCAAATTATTTGGAATTTCTCTTGAGCAAGATGCTTTAAAATTTCAGCCTCCCATTTGACCTGCAGCTGAAAGTCTAAATCTTATTGTCTCTACAATCCAATTGACAAATTGTGGTTAACTATGGCTTACTGAATAAGCCACAATTAGCTGGATTCATACATCAAACCAAAGCAGATTTATAAACCCAAATATCTGGGTTCAGACAACACACTAAGCCAAAACCAAACAAACTGCATTACAGCTTAGCATAATGCCTGAACCCAGTGAGAGTCACACTTCTCCAAGCTGACACCCTTCAAATGTGCTGAATTCCCAACTCCCAGGATTCCCAGCACACATGGAATTTTGGGATTTGTAGTTCTTTAACAAATAGAGAGAGCCAGCTTAGAGAAGATTGGTTGTGTCTTTTAAAGGAAATTCTTCCTTTGATAACTCTTTCAGAGATGTGTGTTAGTCTATATGTATGTCTACTTGTGTGTTTCTCTGTGTGACAGTGGTTTACATGGGATAGAGAATGGTTGATATCTGCAGCTGGGGATCACTTAATTTTATAAAGGGGGTATTTTATTTTAATCAGCCATTATTAATTCAGTTAATATTCATTTGTCTTTTGGTTCTGGGCTTGTCTTTCTTTGGAATGTGTTTTTGGTAGGCATGTATCTGTGTTATATAAATGCGCATGTACACACACACATGTAAGTGGGGAGATGAAAATCTTTAGAATTGATCTCAGTTGGAATTGCCAATTTTAGATGCCAAGGTAGGGAAGTTAAGCATTGCTGGGATTTTTATGTGAGCTGTAATCTTTTTCAGTCTCTCTTCTTTTGTGGGTATGTGATTGTCTTAAATTCCAAATTGTTTCCCTTTGGGGTAAATATGATTAATCAGTAACTGAAGTTCAGTATCATAATTGGAGGACTGTACCAGTTCAAGACTGCACCAGTAATCATCTGCTAGTATAATCAGGATTATAATATTTTCTTTCTCCTCTCCCCCAACTTTTGTCTCTGATATAAATGAAGCATACTAAGCAAGACAGAAAAGTAGGAGCAAATGATTCTGATATTTAGTCTGTACTAAAAGAGGTTACATGGACCAAACATTTTACTTTGCCTGTGTCTCAAAATCTGCACATGAAGGCTGGGGTCCATCAAGAATAGTTCTGACCGAGAAGGATGCTAACAGAAATAGATATTATTTTTAAGAATAATTAAAATATCACATTCAGAGATTACATCTCTGAAAAATCACCCTGAAATACAGAGCAAATAAAAAATAATTACATTATCATAAAATATGTTTAAAATGACATTTATCCCTAATTTTTTTTAAAGTATTTTTAAAAGCCAAATTAAAAAATATGTGTTGACATCTTCTTTTAAAAAAACAAAGCTAAGGAAATCACTGCAGCTGCTAAGGACGTGTGATTCATAGTTTAAGAGCAACCTCATCAGTTTTTTTCCCTCACGTCTTTTATACGGACCTCTCTAAGGGGTGATATAATCAAAAGAGCGTAATCTGAAGATATTAATAACTGGATGGGTTCATAAAGAGAGAAACAGCCCACAAACTCTCAGACTGAGCCTTCCAAACCATTGGCAGCTGGTGCAGATATTTCAATATTCAATAAAATTAAGGGTGTCCACAGAAGGGGTCAAAAATATCAACATGGCATCCACACCTGCATGATCAAAGTCCTGTCCCTTTTTATGTGCATTGCACATTAAAAAAAATGGGGTTTTGATCAAGTGGACATTTTTATTTATTTAATTATATTTCAAATTTAGTCACCGCCCATCTCACTAGGAAGCAACTCTGGGCAGTTTACAGTAAAAACAATAAATATTAATTAAAATACAATAAAAACCATATTCATACATAAATATCTTCCAAGGTACTGCTGGTAGATCAGGATATTAACCTACAGGAGCATGGGTACCATCTTGACTTTTTGATCACCCCTTTCAGAACCTCCTATTTTAATACCATTCATTGCATGTGGCATCCAATGGAGGGACCTCAGCCTCTGTGTTTAAAATTTAAAAAGACCGCCTACCAGAGCACCTTTCCTGGTTACAGCCTCTCCCTTCACAATCACCGAATCTTCTTCCATGAGAGCTGGCCAGACATGATAGGCAACCAGTGGAGCTGTGAAATCAGAATCGTAGCTGCGACGGTATCTAATCAGATATGAAAGAAGTTTAGTTGCAACTGAGGTTGTAGTTGGAAAGACAAACGGCTTCCCTTATGTTTATCACCTTTGCATCTCATCTTTTCCTGTGGAACTCAGAACAGTTATCACATTTACTCTGGGATCTGGACTAAATGAAAAGACACAGATGGTACTTGCAATAAAATGTTGAGTCTCTCCCTAATCCTTAAAAGAGGCAGAGTATGAAACAGGAGACCTGTAGTTCATAGCCCGTAACTCTAAAAATGAGGTGAGTATTACCATCTGAAGCAGTGTTTCTCAACCTTAGCAACTGTAAGATGTGTGGACTTCAATTCCCAGAATTCCCCAGCCAGCATGGCTGGCTAGGGAATTCTGGGAGTTGAAGTCCACATATCTTAAAGTTGCTAAGGCTGAGAAACACTGATCTGAAGTCAATAAATGAGGTTGTTTTTAATGCAGCTTATACAATGGCATCCACAAACGGTGTGTAAGTCAACATCTACAAGATGGCAGGCACAGCATTGCAATACATGCTCCGCCCCTTTGGTACATAGGTACAAAAGAGGCAAGCCTTGGATTATTATGCGGCACCCACCATCTTGCACATTTTGACACACATACCCCTGCTGATGCTGCTGAGTTTATGAAAAGAATAAGTAGACTTCAAGTTTCTGGGATTTAATTTTTTTGTTTGCTTTTAGAGAATGTTCAGATCCAACATCTGGAAACTAATGAAAAAACCCTCTTCTTAGAATGAAAAAAAACCTGAATCTGGGAATTTGTTTTCAGTCTCAACACCAAACCGTATTTATAGTCTAATCATTTGCAAACTCCAACCTGTATTATCTCAAGTTTTTTTTCAATGTCACAAAATAATTGAGCAGCAGTAGAAATCCCTCAAGAAGTTGCTGAAGTTGTTAAAAAGGAAGTCAGAAATCAGTAGCCTTTTACTCAAAGGACACATTTTAATGTGTAATGGTGTTCCCAAACAAATGTAATATAATAATCTAAATTAGTATCATCTTGCCTGCTTGGAAACGGCCTTCTGACTGCACAGTGTTGTTGGGGGATTAAAAGTTTGCATATTTATAACCACACAACTGTGGGAACTCAGTCAAGGAGAGGATGAACCCATTTATGTAGTGGGTACTGTAAGCCTACAGTAACTTTTTTCAGGCCAAAATTGTTGTTATCTCCACCAATATACCTGGCTGGTTGGTGTTACCTAGCTGATAATCTCAGTTGTCTTCCTGGCCTTGGAGCCAAGAGATCCACCAGCCTACCTGAGAAGGACTAGGGCAGGGCACAAAGCTTAATAACTTTTTATTTCTGGTTGCATGTGTGCAAGTGTAGAGGGCATAGGGAATGGACAGGAGGCAGAGCTGCTAACAAGGCAATGATCAAATAAGAGGGGCTTGAGCCTGGGCCAAGAAGATAACTTGAGAAAACATCTCAAACAAGCCCCTCCCTAGTTCACATGAAGATAAAGTGAGGAAGGGGGAAGCACATTCAGACTTGCAAGATTCTGTTCCTAAAGCTGTTACAGTAAAAGTAGTCCTGACCTACGTGGCATTGGTTTCTTCGTCTGGTCTACCTTGTAGGCTGACAGCAAGTAACTAGCACAAAATATAACATGCCAAAGTTGTATTTTCTTGGCATTATAACTCTTCTTGAATAATATGCAGAAGTGAACACTGACTTTAATTCAGCATGTCTCCGTTCAGGGAGGTGACACAGTATGTCTCTGCATCTTTTTTTTTTTTTTTTAATAGGAATGCAAAACATGCATACTTTCGTTTCCCTTACTTGTAATCACTGAACAGCTCTCCATCTATACCAAGAGAAATATCAAGGGGTGGGTCAAGAGTCTGCATGGAAAAAGCTATCCGGCATAACTCTCGTATCAAACCACTGATCATGATCAAATCAACTTCTTCTGGCAAAGAAATCTTAGAACTGATGTTTATTACACGGATGACTTCCTGAAAGAATATAAAATATGTGTTATTTCCTAGAGAAAACTAATTGGAAATTACCAAAAAAATTAATAATAAATGCACAGGCCATTTGAAACAGGAACACAAAATGAAAGAATGACCATGTTAAGATCAAGTGGTTTCCAAAACTTACTTTCTTCAAAATCACATCATACTGGCATCCATTGCAAACCATGTTGACATTGTTTGCATTTAATTTAAGTTAAATTACTGAAATCATTTACTATGTACTATTTCACTAAAACTCTATTTTAGGGATTTGCCTAAAAATTCTCCACTGCCACAGTTATACAGTTGAAGAGCAGTGAAGTCAGACACAATTTAGGAATAGGGATGTTTTCAGGGGTATGTGGAGGAAGGGTCAAAAAAGGCAAGATGGCAGCTATGACTACAAGATTGAAGCCCTGCCCCCTTTCTAACGCATCATATGTAAAGAGCCTTGTTTTACATGTGATGCATTACAGAGGGGATGGGATTTCAACCACTTGGTTATGGCTGCCATCTTGCCTTTTGGACACACACACACCCCAGACACTCCTAGATGTTTTCATCACATTTTCATAGTACTCAAACCACAACATTTTGTTAGAGGAAAGTATAATCATTGTTATTTACTCCTAAATCTCATAGAGTATAATGGAATGTGAGAATGGCCTTGGAAGATGGGGGGAAGAGATGCTGCTTAGGGAACAATCAGATAAAAGGGGGAGAAACCCGCAGCTAAATAATGGGCTGAAAAAGAAACTTAGAAAGGACCCACCCTAACTGATCAAGCAGTAAATAGGGAGGGCGGGAAATTTGTACTTTCAGACTTGCAAGATTCTGTTAATGTAGCCTATCAATAAAATAGAAGTAGCCCATCTGGTCATGTTTCCTGTCTGGTTTACCTGGGAGGGCTGACATAGGGCCACATAATACTGAATGTCATTATGGGATGTATCACAGGTATCACTGATGACAGAATTAACCCTATTGAGGCCTTGTTAAATAGTGCTTTATCACTTGCTTAAGATACAGTTTTTGAGGGATCCCAGAGATCTCATTGATCTAACATTTAGACCTGGTAGATTTATTAACTTCTCATAACACCTTTGAGAATATAACTGCTGAGCTTCCAGTGGAGGACAAGATGGCGGAAGGTCCCTCCGGCTGAAGCTCCTCTGAAGCTGGAGCATTAAACGTGGATAATTCGGTGTCTCAGGAATTTTTTCCAAGACACGAAGCATTCTCCGGGCAAGGGGAAGCTATCGAATTGTGTCACGTGTCTTCCGGACAGCTATAGTTTATCGATTGAATGTGGGTTGTGAACAAACAGTGAGCAATCAGCTGGGAAGCGGGCAGATCAGCTTGTCGGCGCTACATTTAAAGCCTCTTAAAGAGACACTACTTCCAACCACCCCACCTCTAAAATCACTTTTGTTGTAAGTTATTTAAAG